AGGATCTGCCCCTGAGGCTGTGGGCATCCCTGCTAGCACGTCGCCTCCCCAGGTTGCTGGGGTGCCCTTCTTTAAACAGTCTCCAGGGCATCAGAGCCCTCTTGCCTCCCCAAAAGTACCCAGTTGTCAGCCCCTAAAGGAAGAAGAAGAGGATCAGGGGCCAGTGGACAAGTCTCCAGGAAGTCCCCAGAGTCCTTCTAGTGGAGCTGAGGCTGCCGATGAGGACAGCAATGACTCTCCTGCCTCCTCCAGCTCTTCTAGGCCCCTCAAGGTGCGGATCAAGACCATTAAAACATCCTGTGGGAATATCACAAGAACTGTAACCCGGGTCCCCTCAGACCCTGATCCCCCTATCCCCTTGGCCGAGGGGACCTTCTTGGCTGAGGCTAACTTCTTAAAATTCTCCCCTGTGGCTCCGACTCCTGAGGGTCCAAAGGTGGTGAGCGTCCAATTGGGTGATGGCACGAGGCTGAAGGGCACTGTGCTGCCTGTGGCCACCATCCAGAATGCAAGTACTGCCATGCTGATGGCGGCCAGCGTGGCCCGCAAAGCTGTGGTTCTGCCTGGGGGCACTGCCACCAGCCCTAAGATGATGGCTAAGAATGTGCTAAGTCTGGTGCCCCAAGCTCTGCCCAAGGCTGAGGGGCGGGTGGGGCTGGGGCCAGGAGGCCAGAAGCTGAATGGCGCCTCGGTGGTGATGGTGCAGCCTTCCAAGGCCGCCACTGTGCCAGGGGCAGGCGGTGGCACAGTGATCTCACGGACCCAGTCCAGCCTGGTGGAGGCCTTCAACAAGATTCTCAACAGTAAGAACCTGCTGCCTGCCTACCGGCCAAACCTGAGTCCACCTGCTGAGGCTGGACTGGCCCTGCCTCCAACAGGCTACCGCTGCCTCGAGTGTGGGGATGCCTTTTCACTGGAGAAGAGCCTGGCAAGGCACTATGACCGCCGGAGCATGCGCATTGAGGTCACCTGCAACCACTGTGCCCGCCGCCTGGTCTTCTTCAACAAGTGCAGCCTGCTGCTGCACGCCAGGGAGCACAAGGACAAGGGGCTTGTCATGCAGTGCTCGCACCTGGTCATGAGGCCTGTAGCTCTTGACCAGATGGTGGGGCAGCCGGACATCATGCCCCTGCTGGCTGTCCCACCTGCCCTTGGACCTCCAGCCTTGCCTGCCTTGGGCAAGGGCGACGGGGCCATCACCACCTCCGCCATTTCTACAGTTGCTGCTGAGGCCCCTTTGCTGCCGCTCTCAGCCGAGCCGCCTGCTGCCCCTGCCACCTCTGCTTACACATGCTTTCGCTGCCTGGAGTGCAAGGAGCAGTGCCGGGACAAGGCTGGCATGGCTGCCCACTTCCAGCAGCTTGGGCCTCCTGCCCCGGGGGCCACCAGCAATGTGAGTTGCCTTTCACCTCCCTTCCCTGGGAAGGGGCAGCCCGGGGATAGGATCTAGGAAGTTGCAGGGGGCTTGGTTAGGAGAAGTAGTGGGAGACAGGCCACTCTCCTGACTTGCCTTGTTTCAACCCCTTTGACAGGTGTGCTCAACCTGCCCCATGATGCTCCCCAATCGCTGCAGCTTCAGTGCCCATCAGCGCATGCATAAGAATCGACCTCCCCACGTCTGCCCTGAGTGTGGGGGCAACTTCCTGCAAGCCAATTTTCAGACCCACCTCCGGGAGGCCTGTCTGCATTTCTCTCGCCGTGTAGGATACAGGTGCCTCACACCTCCCCATTGCATCTCTAAACTCCCCCACGTGCTTGCTGATCTCATGGTTCGTAGCACTAACCTTCGAGATGCCCTCTCGAGCCCCATCTTTCCCACTCAGTCCCTTGGCCCTGGTGTGCTGGCAGAGAGCAGGGCCATCTCTGTGGTGCCAGCTCTGCCCCAGCAGGCCTTAGGGATTGGGCCTGCAACCCCCTCCAGTCTCCACCTTGCTTGGGCTCCACTGCCAATTCACTTCTGAAAGTCCGCGGAGGAGAGTGGGGTGGGAGAGGGCATGGAGATGGTCTACCTCACCACAGCGTCCCGCATGTCCTCCCCAAAGGTGCCCCAGCTGTGCAGTTGTGTTTGGGGGTGTGAACTCCATCAAGTCGCACATCCAGACGTCGCACTGCGAGGTTTTCCACAAGTGCCCCATCTGCCCCATGGCCTTCAAGTCTGCACCCAGCGCCCACGCCCACCTCTATACCCAGCATCCCAACTTCCTCTCGCAGCAGGCCAAGTGAGACCTGGGACGAGGATGAGGAGGGGGGTGCTGGTGGGAGCTGGGTCCTGGTGGGGCAGGGTATCTGCACTGTCCTCTCCACCTGCACAGGATGATCTACAAGTGCGCCATGTGTGACACGGTCTTCACTCACAAGCCCCTCCTCTCCTCACACTTCGATCAGCACTTGCTGCCCCAGCGGGTCAGTGTCTTCAAGTGCCCGTCTTGTCCTCTGCTTTTTGCCCAAAAAAGGACCATGCTGGACCATCTCAAGGTATAGGAGTCAAGGGCTGGAGATGGTGTGCTTAGCTCTGTTGACCGGGTGCAGGGGTCACATAACCTTTAGGGATGGGGGAAACGAGAACTCTGGCAAAGCCAGGCCCTTCCCCACAACAGCCATCCCCATTGTCTCCCTTGCAGAACACCCATCAGTCTGGTCGCTTGGGAGAGGAGACTCCTGGGAAAGGGGCTGGGGATGCCCTTACGACCCCCAAGGCTGAACCCGAGGAGCTGGCTGTGTCTCGGGGAGGAGCAGCTCCTGCTACAGAGGAATCTTCTTCAACCTCAGAAGAGGAGGAACTACCCAGCTCCCCAGAGCCCCCTCGTCCAAACAAACGGCCCCCCCGGCGGGACCTAGGCAGCAAAGGCACAAAGGGTGGGGGTGGGGGCACTGGAGGCTGGACCTGTGGCCTCTGTCACTCCTGGTTCCCGGAGCGTGATGAGTATGTGGCTCACATGAAGAAGGAGCATGGCAAGGTGAGCCAGGTGGGCTGGAGGGGCAGCCTGCGGACTGTCCTGTGTGGCATTGTGGCTGGGGCCTGGAGCCTGGTTCTGAGATCCCCCACCCCTGCTCTCCTAGTCCGTGAAAAAGTTTCCCTGTCGCCTGTGTGAGCGATCCTTCTGTTCCGCTCCCAGCCTGAGGCGCCACGTCAGAGTCAATCATGAGGGTATCAAGCGAGTTTATCCATGCAGGTAACCCTTTTCCCCTAATCCCTTCCTCTTTCTGTCTAGCAGGTGACCTCTCCATTCCCTACCTACCAGTACATGGTAAAGTACTTTCCCACCTGTTTCTTGTCCAAGTAGACTGAAGGTGGAGGCCTCTCTCACTCTGGTAGTCCCCCTCCACTTGAGCCACTGGCCTTGGTCTTTGGGCTGTGCCCTTGGTGCCTACCCTGACCACTCTACCCCTCTAGGTATTGCACAGAGGGAAAACGCACCTTCAGCAGCCGCCTGATCCTAGAGAAACACGTCCAGGTCCGGCATGGCTTGCCTCTTGGGGACCAGTCTCCTGGCCGGGGAAGTATTGTGGTCCGGGGCCCTGGTGCCAGAGGCCAGGTAGGCAAAGGCCCTGTGTTAGGGCTGTGGGAGTGGGAACTCGCAGAGTTACAGACTCTGGCCTCTGGAAGTTAGGTTGGGGGTGCAAGGGTCACTGAGGGTGATGAGGAGGCCCAGTCTTGCTTCATTGTCTTCTCCAGGGGCCAGGACGAAAACGTCGCCAGTCCTCCGATTCTTGCAGTGAGGAACCTGACAGCACAACACCTCCGGCCAAATCCCCTAGGGGTGGACCTGGGTTGGGAGGCCCCCTTCCCTACCGGAGCAGTGGCTCAGTGGAGCAGAGCCTCATGGTGGGGTTGAGGGTGGATGGCGCGACCCTGCAGTGCCTTGACTGTGGCTTATGTTTTGCCTCCCCTGGCTCCCTGAGCCGGCATCGCTTCATCAGCCACAAGAAGAAACGGGGTGTGGGTAGTGCCAGTGCCCTGGGCCTGGGGGATGGGGAGGAAGAGGTCCCCCCTCTGTCGAGGTCTGACGCAGAGGTTGGAGATTCACCCTTGCCTGCTTCTGGAGACCCACTGACCTGTAAGGTCTGTGGCAAGAGCTGTGACAGCCCGCTCAACCTCAAGACCCATTTCCGCACACATGGCATGGCGTTCATCAGGGCTCGGCAAGGGGGCAGTGGGGACAACTAGGCCCCGGACCTGGACTGACTGCGCCCCTTTTCCTTGGGAGCCCGGGTCACTGCTGCTGCCTAGTCCCCAGGCTGGGGAGTTTCGTCGTAATTCACATTTTGTTCAGTTCCTCTCCCCTAACCCCCCCGAGATGACAAACTTGAGCATTATAGTTATTTGCAGTCCTCACTTCGGGTTTGGCCCTTGGGTCCTAGTAGGGCGGGCCCTCCATTCCTCCTTTCTTAGCCCAACACTAATTCCGCTCCTGCTCAGACCCTGTGTGGGACTGGGGGTGGGAGGACAGGGCTTGCTTAGGCCTGCTAGACGGGTCCAGGGAAGGACCAGTGCTGGGGCAGTCAGGACACACTCCACACCCCTGCAGTCAGCCTTCGGGCCTGCTCTGCTCTGGCACCACCCCTGTGACTCCCCGGCACTTGAGCCCCCACCCCTACAGTGCCTTTCACTCGTTTCCCCCCACCCCAGAAATCCAGGGAGGTGGTAGGGATGAGTCCTTTCAAGGAGGGCCCAGGGAGAGGAGGGGACAGGTTCTCAGGAATCCTTTATTGTAGTGATGATACTAACAGTGGGGGAAATGGGAGGGAGAAAACCAGACCATTAAAACTGCTTGTGGTTTAATCCCCATTCAGGCTCTTTTCATGTGACTTGGACAGTGGATTTGACGGAGGGTGTGAGAATCCACAGTGGGGAGGCCTTGCTCTGGGATGAGGCGCTGACCAGGACAGGCAGGGAAAAGGCAGTCTTCTTCCACCTTGTTCTGTGGGTGCCTTTTGTATCCTAGATACTGAGCATCTGTACACTCACCCCTACTCCCCCCAAAAATACAACTCAGAAATTACACAGGTGGCTAACTAAGGACTTTATTTCAAACAAAAATTAAAAATAAAAAATTGAGAGCTATTTCCCTGGATGTGGGGAAGGGATCAGGGCAAGGAATTCCCTGCAGCTAGGCCAATACCCTTGTACTGGAGGGGCTGTGGTAACCCTTTCCAGCCTCTGACAGGGAACCTCTGCAAGGACAGGGCCCGCCCACCAAGGGGAACTCGGGGCAGGAGTCAGTCCCTGGGAGGGGACAGTCAGGCAGCAGCATGGCCGAAGGTGAACCACAGGATCAGGTCCTAAGTACCAAGAAGCCTCTCTTCCCTCCCTTTCTGGGACCCAGAACAGATGAAGAAGATGGCCTGTAGAAAGAACCTCGGACCCTGGTGAGAATAAAGGCCCAGCATCCTCAGACTGATCACCTCTGCTCTCTGGAGGCAGTGAGTCCTGGCGTCTGTCAGGTGGTAATACTGACACTGCTGGGGGCAGGGAAGCCCCAGCAAGTCTGGGCCCCGCAGCTGGCTCTCCCACCCCCTGGCAAGCTCTACTGTCACCACATGATCCTTTGCATTTCTTGCCTTCCATTTCCCTTGGGGGGATGGATGGGTGGGCGGGTTTTCCTGGTTTGGAATTTCTCCCAGGGAGGGTCCCCTGAATGCCCCACTATTCTGGGGCCTGAGAAAGGGTGTCACATGATGCCATTGGTGAGGTACTGGAAGCCGTCGTAGAGTTTGGTAGTGATAGACCGCATGCTGCCATCCACCATCTGCTCCACCAGCAGCTGAAGCTGCTCCTCAGTCATGCTCATGTGGAACCTCTCCTTCAGGTTGCGGATGGTGCTGGAGCCATGGAAGCAAGGAAGCTGGGAACCTGGGCGAGGCAGTGAGGGCAGAGGATCATGAGTGGGAAGGAGGGAGGGGCAGTGTAACAGCCACAGCACGTATGCTAGAGAGATCCCTGACCGTGGGGATGCCGTTCTGCTTGGGCAGAGAAGGGAGAACTGGTGGGAGGCCCTAGCTCGAGCCCATCTTTGTCCCACACCCCTGAACCCCTCTAGGTGAGGGCATGAGGGGAGGGGAGGGCAGAGGGCCAACACCACATCTCCCCCAGTCACTGCTGAGGGCCCAGAGGGAGGGCTGGAAGAGGTTCTAGGGAACGGGCCCTGAGCTGGGCACTTATCTGGTTGCAGGACTCTGCCTATGCTACATCTGACACTCACAGGTGACCTGGGCCACTGTCATCATGGGGCCAGGCAGGGTTGTTCCTGAGAAACGGCGACAACCTGTGGGGTGGGGGCAGGGATGGGAGGAGGAGACTGGAAGCTTAGACTGGGTGTATACTGTAGCCTTAAGGGGGGTGGGGACAAGGGCCCAGAGCGCTGGGAGAGGAGGGACCTGGACAAAAGACTAGAAGGCGACAAGGCAGTGAGGACATAGCGCAGTGAGAGTAAATAAAGATGACAGATGGAGGGGTGAGTATCAGGACAGGGAAGAGGCCTGAGGACAAGGCACTTGGGAGCCAAAGTGTGGTGAGGAGGAAAGTGGTGACTAGAAACACTTGAGCTGGTCAAAAGCTGAGTGATGGGAGGAGACAGAAACTCAAGAGTTGGGCAAGGGATGGAGAGATGGGAAGGGACCAAGAGGCTGTAGATGGGGCTGCTCTCTCCCTGCGTGAACCTAGGAGGTAGTTTCTGCGGCCTCCACCCGGCTACCCCCACGACTGAGCTCTGTCAGGAGGCATGTCCCAAAGGAGAAACCCTCCGGGAACTCCCCCCGCCTGAAGTCCTGAGGTGGAGTGGACTGCTTGGGAATTCCATGCGGAGCACCACCCTATCCCCGATCCCCTGGCCGGCCTCTCCCCAGCCCCACCTTGCTGCATGATCTCCACAATCTGCACCACCTTGTCCATGTGTTTCCGAGCAGCAATCAGCCCCTGCAGCATCAACATCTTGTAGTAGTTAAACATGTCACCATCCAGGCCGCCCATGACCTGGGAGGGGAGAAGAGAGCTGTGGGTATGAGGGGGCTCAGCGTCCCACCAACCAGCCAGAACAATCGGGGCAAACATGCCAAACCCCATCACTTCCTAACTCTCAGTAGGCAGGAAGCCTCCCAGGACACCCAGCCTGACCCTGACTTACTGCCATTTCTGTTCTGTTCAACCCTAATTTGGGAGGAGCCCATCAATTCCCCGTCCTATGACAGAGAAAGGAGGCGGCACTTCTCCTTCCTGACTCACATCCACAAACTCTGTGGTCAGCTTAAAGGCTGACGTCTCAAAGCCCAGGTTTCGTGGTGAGCTGGACAGGATGAAGCCGAAGTCGATGTGGATGATATGGCCTTCTGCGTCCAGAAGGATGTTCCCGTTGTGTCTGAGGAGGGGGCAGAGGAGAGGAAGAGGCAACACACTGGCCACATGACACCAGGCAGGGGAGTCCCCTGCTGTGTTTCCTGCAGCCTGTAACTCTGGGTCCAACCTCCTAGGACCTGAAGCTAGCAGCAGAAACAGGGAATCAGAAAAGTAAGTTGCTAACAAAGGCTGTGTGATCTGAAATCACTATTACTGACAACTTAATAGTTTAATTATCCTAAATTTCCAAAAATTGTAATTCTAGCACCCAAATTGATCCCAATCTAGTAGAAAGCCCAGAAGCAAGGGAAGAAGGCCCCTGAGGCTCCTGCCAGCTGTCAGAGAGGCCAAGCAATTGGCTCAGAGGAGGCCTCTGGTCAGAACTTGGTCACCTGTATTCTATCTGTGATTGCCATCAGCCCAAGTAGATCAGCACTCCACCAGAAAGGAGCAGCAGGCAGGGAGGAATTTAAATGTAAAATAGTGTGGGGGTTTCAAAGGTAAGTTTCAACTCTCTGGTAAAGTCACCACTGTAAGAGATCTCAGGCTGCAATGACCATAGGCCAGCTGCAGGAAGAAGAGAGTTAAAGGAAGAGGAGTCAGGTCTTTGTGATTCCCACCTGAATGGTTGCCTGCAGAAGGAGGAACTATCACCCTGCTGAGCATGTGAGGCCTGGCCCCTCAGGATGACCAATCCCCTCAGTGCCAGTAGAGGCTTTGTTAGGCTCCGAGCTCAAGGTCTGAGAGCTACCTTCTCTGGGGTTGGTCTGACTGGACAAAAAAGTGGGGAACAGAGGAACCCAGTCCCACCTGAGTCCTTTCTACTCTGGGGAAGCACTACAGATTTAGCCACAAAGGCACAATCTTGAGCCAGAAAGGTTCTAGGAGCTGTCTTAGCTCAGTTCTCATTTTACAGGTGAGGGAACAGGCCCTGAGAGAAGTCCTTAGTTGCCAAGGTCCCAAGGCTGGTGAGGGCAGTTTCTTTTCTCAACTGCTGGAGATAGTTGGGGACTCATTCTGAAGCAGTTAGAGACTTTTTAAAAATCCTCACCTGAGAGCATTTTTTCATTGCTTTCAAAGAGAGAGGAAGGGAGAGAGAGTGAGGGAAAGGGAGGGAGGAAGGGAGGTACAGAGAGAGAGAGAGACATCAATGCATCTTACATTGATGAGTTGCCTCCTGCACGCACCCCAACCTGGAATTGAGCCTGCAGCCCAGCTATGTGCCCTGAGCAGGACTGGAACCGCAACCTTTCTGAGCCACCCCCGAGCCACAACTGACGCAGTGAAAGAGATCTTAAACCTGCTTCCGGTTTAGAGCCCTGTGCATTGTTGCCAGTTCTTTCCACTGGCTGATTCTCTTCACAGCTAGACTACATCTCTTCTGAGTTATTATAAAAGGTTTCTCTGCTGCCCATTCCATGGCCCCTGCCCCTGTGCTTTAAAGGATGGATTCTCACCTTCCAAACATCTTCATTTCCTAAAGGAAATCGCAGAGGCCTGACTAGCACCTGCTTCATTTGCTGCCATCCATTTTCTCAATTCTGTTGCTCGGCTCTAGGCTCTTTGGGCCCTGGATTCAATCCCAACTCTTAGGGACAGTATTAGGCTTGCAACCAAATTCCTTATAAATAACTACATTTCCCTTCAGCCCTCAAATGCAGAGCCTCACTGGGTTCATTTGTGGGGCTGACCAAGTGGAATGAGTGCAGGTTCTGAAAGCTCCCTGACCCTCATAAAACACCTGTCTGGCAGGGTTTTTAACTGGTTTCAGTACAAGAATGTCAGCCTATGGCAGGCACTTAATAGATGCTAGATTCCTGATAAGCTACTCTGTTAGCTGGCTCTTAATATGCCACCATGTTACTGGGAGCTCTGGAAGCTCAGGCCACCGCATCTCTGCCTTCCCAGGGCAGCTGCTCTATGCCCAGTGAGAGGTGTACCTCACAGAAGCATTCAGGATGCTGACCCTGAGTCACTGTTTGGGTGAAATTATCTGTGTACGGTACATCGCTTCCCTATAATGTGAAGCTGGGCCACATAAAGATCATGTGATATTGGAAATGCCCAGCTCTGGGCAAAGCAATAAATACTAAAAAGTTCTGAAAATCGTATGTTGGAATAGGAGATTTCGGGGCTGGAAGTTTCAACTTTACCTCCATCATGCCTACCATATTTACCTTCTCCTTTCTGTTCTCAGTCACTACCACCCACCTAGGTCAGGGCTCATTACCTCCTGTTTTGTTGCCAAAGGCCTGACGATAGCCAGCCTCAGCCCCAGGGCCACAGGGTGCACACACTAAACAGAGATTGGGTCATATCATTTCTCCACCCACAAAATAAAACTCAGCTTCATCATGCAGGCCCTTCTAATCTGGCCTCTACTTACCTGTCTGACATCATTGCCTGCTATTCTCCTGTCAGGCAGCAGAGCCCGAGCTTTAATCACACTGACTTGTTTGTCTGCCTGGTGCGTCCTTCCCCCAGCTTTCTCTGCTCTCATTCTCCTTCATCTCTCAAAACCCTGCTTGCTCAAACCCTTGATTCTCCCATAAATCGATCATGTCTTTGCCCCTTTACCCTAGTACTTGTCTGTCTCCTTGGCTTAATGCACATGAACATGTCTGTCTCTGCTTAAAACACGATGTTTGTTTCATCTTTTACATCTTGGCAATGGAAGGCGGTGATGAGTATATGAGAACTACACATGAATGGACAGAGAGAACCCTGGAAAAAAGGTTAAGATGAGGGGCAGGAATTTACCTACCTGTCCTTGACTTGTAGCAGGTAGCAGACCAAGCAGTAGCCAGCGCAACTTTGCACAAAATTACGCTGGGCACTGAGGAATGCCTCAGTCGTGTAACTGCCATGCTCCTGCAGGAAGTAATCAAGCAAGGAGAGCTGTGACTGTTTCTTCACCTGGTGGATAGACACAGCATTGACCACCGGTTCAATCATGCCACTGTCGGCCGAAATCACAAGAATCTTGTATGGCTTGATCCACAGGGGTACTCGTTCCTGTTCCCAAATGGACTGTGAGGAGACAAAGAAGCATTGGCACCATCACCTTTCATCCGAGTTTAGGGAAGAGGCTAAAATCCCCCTCTGTCCCCTGGACAGTTCCCAGCTTTGGTGGCCTTGAATTTTAGGCCATCAACTAACTGAGTAAAACCCACTGAGGACAACGGAGTTTTTAAAGAAAGTCCAGGGTCCGATAAGACTCGGGGAACTGTGTAGCAAAAGGCATCCTGTAGGCAGAAAGCCCCCAAAGGCAGAGAGAACGGGAAATCACACAAGCAGCAAGAATGGGAGCTACTAATTCAAAGAACTGGGAAAGGGCGGAAAAGGATGTAAGTCCACAGAAAGCTTCTCTAGAAAACGAAAATGTTTATATAAAGAATAGGTGAAGCTGCTGGCAGGTGACCAACCCAGAGGCTCGGGGGACTGACATCTCAGCACACTGCAACCCACTTACGAATACCAGATTAGAGTTTTAATCAATTACTTAAATTGTTATTGAATTTATTGAGGTGACATTGAGGTTACTATAATTTATAGGTTTCTGGTATAAAATATATCATCTATACATTGCATTGTGTGTTCATCACCCAAAGTCAAGTTTTCCTTAGGTCATGATTTATCCCTTTACCCTCTTCTACCTTCCTCCATCCACCTCTCCCTGGTAATCAATCACCTTACTATTGTTTGAGTTTATGACTTTTCAGAGTGACTGCAAATCACAAAAGGACCACAAGAGGTCGCTGTGGAACTATTTTGTGGCTGTGGTTTCTGGGGACATAAACTGGGGATGGGGCATGAGCTGTAGTTTAATCTGTACCCAGTCTAGACCTGGGCTGGAAGCTGGTCCTCAGTAGAGCTCTCTGCAGAGCAACCTGTGTGGGTCACCTCTGGTGGACTGCAGCTGGGCTGAGTTCCCCTTCTTTCTCCCTCCCTTTTTCTTTTTTTAAGAATCTTTAGCTCTGGCTGATATAGCTCAGTGGATTGAGTGCAGGCCTGTGAACCAAAGGGTCACGGGTTTGATTCCATCAGGGCACATGCCTGGGTTGCGGGCCAGGTCCCCAGTTGGGGATGTGCGAGAGGCAACCACACATTGATGTTTCTCTCCCTCTCTTTCTCCTTCCATTCTCTCCCTCTAAAAATAAATAAATAAAATCCTTAAAGAAAAGAATCTTTAAAAAATTTATTTAAATTTTTCAAAATTTTATTTATGTATTAAATAAATTTTTTTACGGTTTTTTCCCCCATTACCATTTAGTCCCTTTATACCTCCTCCCCCACTTCTTTTTTCTACCTGTAGTTGCTTCAACACCTGGAAGGCCAGCAGTTCCTGACGAAGATCATCCCCACATTTGACAATGACAGACAGAAGCCGCCAATTGGGGAGATGGCCATAGGGGGAGCCCTCTCTGATCCGCCTGTGTAGAGAAGCAAAAGTTATCAAAGGGTGATGGCAAGGTGAGGACAGAGACACAGATTCTACCAAAAATCCAAATCAAACTCCCCCAAAGGCAAGGACTCTTGGACTGCCTGGGAGCCCGATGGACAATAAAGAAATGCTCTGAGTACCTGCAGTTGCCTCCAAGCTTTGAGAGGGCTGGAGACCGCCCCCACCCCCCACTCTCCAACTCACCGCACTTTCTCCTGCCAGGGCTCCTTGAGAGCAACTGCAGAAGGGTCTTCTGGGTCCCGTTTGAAGGCTGTGGGTGTGTGAGCCAGCTGCTCCGAAAGGCGTCGTCTAGCAGGGAGAAACTATCATTTGCTTGGAGGAGTTACGCCAGAGCCTAATGTCCCTGTCTACAGCGGCATTTCCTGTACTGTTTCCTTGACTCCAGGCACACGCAGATAGAACCTGGGCTGACGGACTCATGGAAGGACACATACCACCGACACCTTTTGGCTAAATTGGTGATTTGGAATGTTAAAATGTAATCACCAGGCCCTCCTCATTCTTTTACCAAGATTCTGGTTCAGAACAGCCATGGCTCCAGCACCTGCATTTTCAACAAGGTCTCCTCTCCGCCCCCACCCGACTCTGACATGTGCAGTCCTCAGGCCGACTCAAGGAAACGCTGCTCTAATTCTTCCCTCTGGTGTTCTCATCCCTTTGGATTCTCTTTAACATTTAGTTTCTTTCTGGAGCAGCCTGGCAATTTCTCCACCTGCACCTTCACTGCCTCAAGTTTGGTGGCCTCAGGGCAAGAACAGAGTATGGAGAGAGAAAAGGGAAAGACACAGGCTGACAGAATGGGAGAGGACAAAGAGAGAGGCAGAGCCTTAAAGAGGGCTGAAAAACGAGGGGCAGTGTTGTCTGGCCATACCGGATGTCCCCTGCTGCAATGAACACAGGCTCCTTGCTCTCTTGGCTGGTGATGCTGTCCACAGAGAACTGGGAGATGTTGTCACAGCTGTTAGTGTGCACTTCAGGGAGCTGCAGAGAGCAGGGGACGGCAGGTCAGGAGCACTAGGCACAAGTCTCACTCCCTGCACCTCCTCTGCAGCCCTCCCTGTGTGTTTGCTGTCTGCATGTCACGATCATCCCTCGCTTCCTGACTCTGCTGCAAAAGGCCTCCCCTGGTTGCACACCATCTTGATCACTTAGGCCTGAAACTGTGTAGGCACCCACATAGGCCCTACAGTGAGTGGTGTTTCTCAAAGTGTGAACTACCTGCACCAGAAATATCTGGAATGCTGCTAAAACCAGATTCCCATACGGCACACTGGGAACGGGTCTGGAAGTCTGAATTTTTAACAATTGTCTAGAAAACCCCTGGCACATTCAAGTTTGCAAACCACTGCTGTGACCATCACAGAAAGTGGAACTTTCAACCTTATACTGAGAGCTCCCCAGCTAGGGATGCATCCTTTCTTGGGGTCCAGAACAGACTTTCTCCAGACTAGGATCCATGACCATTCTTCAGTCTAGTCTCTCCTTCTCCCTCTAAGTATCAAGTCCCCTTTTTCTTCCTTCCTTTGTACTGGAGCATTTCTCAACCCCATTTATCATTTATCACACACTGCCTTTTTGTATATCTTACACATTTTTTTCTTCTATGTCTGTGTCCAATTTCCCCAAGTAGACTGTAAACTCAAGGACAGTCTCTTTTTTCATATGGTGAGATCTGGTTGCGTCACAGCCCTACATAAAATCCTGCTCTGGCTCCCTACAACCCTAGAATAAAGTCCAAGTTTCTTCCCGCAGCTTACAGGATCCTATCTCCAATCTGGCCCATGACGCCCTCTCCAGCCTCATAGGTCACCACTTCACACCCACACATCATACAAAATTTCGTTCAGTTCCTAAGATGAGTCAAGCTCTCTCATCTTCCAGTCTTTGCAAAAGCTATCCCCTTTGCCTAGAATACTCTGTCCAGCTACTTCGTAACCATCTTCAGGTCTCATCTGACATATTACTTCCTCCAGGAAATCTTTTGGGGTGTATCCAACCCCAAGTCTGGAATAAGTGTTACCCTCCACCATCAGGTGCTCCCATAATTCCCCATTCTCTACAGCGTAACCTAGATCATACCATACTACAACTATCTGCTGACTAGTCTTCTACTGTCTCCTGTCAGGTCAGAAACTCCTTGTAGGCAGGGGCCTGGTTTTGTTTACCAGCACACAGCACTCAGGGCTGGCACAAAAAAGGCCCTCCCTAAATAGTTCTTCAATGAATGAATGGATTATAACTTACCATTCTCTGCTTTCCTAAGACAACTTCATATAGCAGGTATTCATTCATTCATTCATTCATTCATTCATTTTTGGGGGGTGGGAGGGAGAAAGAGAGGGAGAGAAACATTGATGTGCAAGAGAGACATTGATCAGTTGCCTCTTGCACACCCCAAAATGGGGACCTGGCCCACAACCCAGGCATGTGCCCTGACTGGGAATCAACCAGCAACCTTTCGGTCTGCAAGCCGGTGCTCAGTCTACTGAGCCACACCAGCCAGGGCTTGATAAATTTCTTGATTAAATTTATCTCATTCTCTCAGCTTAGAAGTTCTTCCTTACATTTAATCTAAACTCCTCCTGCAGGAAAATGAGTTCTACCTGAATCTACTCCAGACTAGGGCTGTTCAATTCGTTCAGAGCTTTGCCCTTTCGTACCCAATACTACCTACTTTTCTCATTTGGACTCTTGCCTCAGTCTGCCTCAGGGTGTGTTTTCTTGTCTGAAATATACTGGACGCTCCTGGAGAATAGGTGTTTTGCCCAGTGTTACCTCCTTGAGCTCCCTCACCTCCACCTGCAGCTCGCCTATGTCATCCACTGACCAGGCCTCATCATCGTTGTCATAGTTGGGCACAGTGCTGAAGCTGCCTGCCCGCTGCTCATGGGTGATACCGCATTCAGGCAGGTTCTCTACGGACCGCGTGCTTCGGATTCGGTTCTCGGGGATCCGGGCAGGGACATTGGTGGTGTCGAAGTTTTCACATTCAAGGACTTCCACATAGATCAGGTAGGGAGCCTGGAGGAAAGCGAGAGCAGTATTTGCAGTTCACCTGCACCACTGTCTCTCAAATCTCAACTCTGTTAACGCAGTTCTTCCTGCTGCCCACTCCTAGGTTCAACACTCAACCATCTGTTCCAACACTATGAACACCGTATTTAGAGCAGGAACTTGTCCTACAATCACCTATATAAAGAATTTGGGTGAGAGAGTGCACCCAAGCTTTCAAAATGGTTCAGCTGAGCTTCAAAATATATAAGGATGCATCTGGGCAAAACCACTCCAAATTACGAATTATAACCCATCAGAGAGGCATGGGACCCTCTGGGGATTTGTCCTAAAGACAAAAAGACTGTGAAAAAGCTGGGCACTGTTCCAATCATGGCTCTGACCTTCAATACTTCTAAAGGGAAGTCTGAACCATTAATACTCATTCCAACCAGCACCAAATTTAGCCAATTCTCTCCAATGTGAATGGGGCATAATTCTCTCCTCCTTGCCCACTGTGTTCAGAAAAAATATTAGAAACAACAGATTTCTCTATTCTTATGTTGCTATACCTGAAAAGCCTATGAGTTATGGAGGGCTGCAGAAGAGCTACCGAAAGGACTGTAAGGAAGGGTGGAGAGTGACTCTCTCTTGAGACATGACAAGAAGTGAGCTGGGACAATCAGGCCTCTTTGGTCCAGAAAAACAAAGCACAAGACAGGGAATAAGAAGGCCCTCAGAATCACAAAATCACGAAGGTAAAGTCATGTGCACCTGAACCATGGAGTCTAGGATGCTGGTGGAGCATCTTTGGGCATAGACACAACCATGGAGTAGAGTCCACCTACCTTGTCCTTGGAATTGAGGACAACAGCCTGTGTGTGGGGCACACGGACCACGTGGTGGTCAAAGCCAGCAGTGGGCAGCCAGACTCGTGCAGGGAGCTTATGGTTGAGCAGGGAGAGCTCTGAGATCAGCCGCTGTGTTTTCTGCTCCTTGGTGGGGAGCGTGGCTAACCGCTTGCCGATTGCCATCAGGGACTTGATGAATTCTCGCTCAGGAGCCAGTCTGACAGGCTATAGGGAGTTGGGGTGAAGTAAAAGACGATGAAGAAACCACAGTAAAAAGTGGCCCATCCATTCAATCACTCCTGGCCATGGAGGCCAGGGATCCCAGTGTCTAGAGAACTCTAGGGAAGGAGCTACTGTTTAGCCCTAGTAGGAGATCCTACCCCATCCCTGGCAAATTGAATTGGGAAGAGGTAGAAGAGCCAGCACATTCCTTCTCCACAGGCTGTTTATTGAGGGTAAAAGTGTGTGAATCCAGGTCACTGGGATGCACCCCTCTTCTCTAGACTTGAATTCCTCAGGAAATGTCCCAAGGCTTCAAGGTGGGTGGGGGGACAATATCCAGAGAGGGCCTTGGAGAGAAGAGCTCCCTATAGCTGAAGGGCTTCACCCATCTTGAGAATGGGGATGTTACTTTCCCCACCTGGATCCTTAGGCTGGGGCTCCGCTAGGGCCCATGAGGCTAGGGAAGGGGGCTCTGAGTCAGTATTTCCCCTTTCAAAGGAGGACTCACTCCATTCAAATGACCTTTGTTGATTTACATGGAACCCCGCCCCATCCACCCCATGATCTCTTACCAGAGGTCAGTGCACATGCAGGGGATGAGAAGAGGATGAGCAGATTTAGGGTTACTGAGGGGATGATCAGTGGGGAAAGGAAAAGCAGATGTAGGAATTTGGGATTACTAAGGGAATGATCAATGGGTAAATGGAGGAAGGCTGGTGTGGTCAGATGGGTGGGGAAAGTACGGCTCCTTTCACTTGACATTGGCCCTGAAGGCCTGTCTCTTTCAGTGATTCCTCCTTGGGTCCTTTCTCCCTACCTTTCAGGACTAGGGTCCCCATAGTTACTCCCTGTTGAGCTTGACTCCTCATGCCAGGCACATGTCATTCCCAGAAAGGGCAGAGACAGTCTGGGGTATGAGATGGGGATGAAGGAGAACATGGACTCAGCTGGCCTGAAGAGGGGCTCTTTTCCCTAAGTCCTTCTACCACCAGGAGCATCTGATCAAGATAGCCACCCAGCTCCCCACCCCATCTCCCCTCAGGTACATAAGAACAGTGTCTCCTCCATTCATAGAAACAGTGTTTCACTCACCAGGCTTTTCTCTCCCTTTCTGTGTGTCTTGCTTAGTTTCCTGATTGAGAATTTCTACCCTCACTCCCTCAAACTGCAAAAAAGAGCTTCTTTTGAAAGCTGGGCAGTACCAGGCCTACCTCTGCATGTGTACAGAGTCAGGTTCAAAGGAACAGCTAATCAGCAGCCTCTACCCCACAGGGGGCTGGCTCAGGGCCCCACACAGTAATAAAATAGGGTGTCGGAATCAGTCACGAACGCTTTGGGAGGCAGAGTTGAAAAGAGATACAAGAAGACAATAGAACTAGGCTTCTGTGGTCCCTGGAAATATCCCAGGGGCTGAACAGAGAAAGAGAAAGAAAGGAAGAGGACTCACTTCTTCATTCATCCTGATCCCCTAATCCATCCACTCAGGTGGCAAATGGTCACTGTCCCAAGGACCCTCCACCCCAACCAATTCACAGTCATCTCAGATTAGAAAAGGCAACATTCCTTCCCATCTTCAAATCAGCATTTGGGAGGGGGGCCCCTAAGTTATGTGAGCATGTTGGAAATGTGACCCCAGGCCTTCAGAGATGGGCTCTGCCACATGGGAGGAGGTGGAATCATGATTGAAAGGGGATCAGCACAGAACAGGGAAAACGGATTGGGAAGACAAATCAAAAATAAAATGTAAAAGAAAAAAATCATCCAAACTCCCAGAAGGTCCAGCATTTCCTCTCACGTCTCTGCCCAGCAACAAGGTCTGAGACCCTGTGGAACCAGAGGGTCGGGGGTTAGTCCAGAGGCAACAAGAAAGCAGAATGATGATTAAGGAACATGTGGGCAGGGAGCTGGGAAAGGGAAGAACTCAGACCTGGAAGAAATGGGGTTGAAGTTAAAAAGAAAACAGGCTGTGGGGACATAAAACTTTCCTTCAGGCCAAATCTCGTTTGCTTTTGAAATCAGCTCACCCAGCATAGGGCCTGGCTTTTAGAAAACACTGAATAAATATTTGATGGTCTGATGGCAGAAGCCACGGGGAAAGGGTCTTGGGTAGGAGAAACTGGATCCTGGGGGCGCTCTCTGCCAAGCAGTTCTTGGCATCAATCCAGGGGTAAATTCTACCTCTCCCCCAGTTGTTTGCTGCTCGAGATTCAGGAGCTGGGGGCTGAAACACACTGCATCCCAGCTGTCCCCGGGAAAAGGATCAACTGAGCCCCACTGAGCCGGGGCTCAGGGCACTGGCGACAGGCAGGGGACTCCCCCAGGTCTGGGAGGCCCGGGAAGGAGAAGCTGATCTCCCAGGAAAAAAAAAAAAAAAAAAAGCACCTTTTAACTCCAACCTTGGCCTGGGGACGGAGAGGAAATGCGGCCATTGGGGGAGCCTGCCACCCAGTCCCAGCCTGGCCCCACTTACGGAACTGAATGAATTATCAATACTCTCGTTGCTGGAAGAGAGCTCCTGGGAAAGGGCCAGAGGACAAAGGGAGAAGGAGGGGGCAGGGAGGGAGGGGAGAGAGACAAAGGCAAAGAATTTAGGTCCAACTTGGATCATATCTGCTTCTCTGGTGTAGCTCTACCTTTCTGCTTCAGTGACAGAAAGTCAACCCAGAAATGCCACTTGCCCAGATTTTTGACACTGTGGGAGGTGCTGGAAGGCTAGCTCTGGCCTTGTGGTCAGAAGGGTTGAACAAACAGTGGCCTCTGTTTTTCACTTTCTTCCCTTCTGTTCTTGCAAGAATCTTGCTTTTAGGACAAAATCCTAAAGATGGGACCCTTAAGGAGGTAATAACTGCTCTCAATCAAATCCTTCTCCATGGAGACCACCACAGAGAAACTGAATGTAACAAGCTGCATGTCCCCCATATTGGAAACTCTGTTCCCCCAGCTTCTTTGAAGTGTCAAGGAGGAAGCAGAAGAGCTATAGTTTCAGTGCCAGGTATATCTCCACACTAATCAGCCTCATCACCACCCTGAGAAGTCTCATCCCCACCTTGGCTCCTGGCAAGGGGTACCACAGACCTATAAGCATGAAACCTTTGGGCTAGATGCTGTTGGAGTAAAGAATGAGTATCTTTCCTATCTACCACCCCACCGCACCCCACCCCCTAGGCCTCCTATCAGACCATTTCACATGACAATTACAGTTTTAGGCCCTAAGTTGGGAGCTGGGTCCTAGCTGATTCCATCTGAGAAAGGTGGGCAGCTGAGCAGCAACTGTCCTAGTACCAGCCGAGGGGGATATCTAAACTTCACCTATTCCTGTGTCTTACAGGGGTCCCTGAGCAAAACAGGGGAAAGGGCCAGTGGTCAAACTCTCATTCAATGGTTCTGCTGCAGCTTGTGTGCAGGCCCTTCCTGTGTTCTGTGCAATGAACTCTCCCAGAGCAGGGAGAAGGGGTAATACCTATGCACGAACCTGCAGTAGAGAAGGGGCCTGGACTTAAAAGACGAAAGTCCTGGGAGCTCCCAGGGCAGGAGGGCAGCGGTCACTGAGCGTCTACTTTGCAATTAGCATTTCAAGCATCTGCTTAATTCAGTTTCATGGTATAAGTTCTTTTCTGGCTGGAGGTCCTATAGTCAGGGCCCTCCCTGAAGAATCTGGGGAGAGAGGCACTTGGAGGGAGAAGCCAAACCAAACACTCCCACGGCAACAACTCTTCTGCTTTGGGTGGAGGTGGAGGTAGAGGTGGAAGGAGAACTAAGACAGTGAGGATGCCAGAGTCTATCATGACTTAGTGGTTCGGTTTCTATCCATGAGCTAGTGGGGGAAGGAAGAGCAGGCAGGATACTGGCTCCCTGAGCAACACTCTAGCTGATCCTCTCACAGACAGGTTCTGTCTGACTCATTAACAGCCTCAGGGGAGGGGAGATGTGTCATGGCCAGCTCCTCTCTTCTCCTCTGTAGGCTTGAGTCACTCATACTGAGTCAGCTCCAAGGAGAAAAGCTGAGGCCAAGAAGCTGATAGCACACCATATCGGGCTGGAAGGCTCACTGAGGCTACCAGTGTGACATGCAGCAGATTTCTCTGTACAAAGGTTGCAGTCCTGAAAAGACAAAGCTGATCCACTGGAGTGTCATCATGTGGGGTGGGACCTAACTGTGCCCCGCCCCCCACGCCAAATGATTTACCACTGAGTTACAAATGGGAAGGAAAACTGCCTGAGCATATCTCCCTGACTAGGCTGATTGTAGGGGAGAGTATAAAGGACTCCTCGTTAAAAGAAAGTAAGAGCCTCTTTGAGATCTGGGCAAAGCTCTGCAAGGAGACTGCAGGCAGGGAGAGAGTTGTACAAGCAGCCTCTCCTCTGAGCCCCACCCTCCAGGGTACCTCTACAGGTGGCCAGAGTACAGGATTAAACTCAGAACCCACAGGGAGAGCAAGGATGGGGAGCAGAGTCAGGTCTCCTTCTAGCCTCTCTGAGAGTTTCTGCTCAGACCTTAGATAATTATGTGCTTGGTATTAGTAAGCTGTATACATCTTTCTCATATGCAGGAAACAACTCTTCAAGAGTCACAAACTCCATGAAAAACTGTTACAACTAATAAATTCAGTAAAGTTTCAGGGTACAAAATCAACTCACAAACTAAACAGTGCCCTAGATAAGGGGTATCCATATTACCTTATAGGTTCTTGAAGAGAAGGGACAGCATTTTATCTTCCATCCTCTACTGCCTCTAGCACACGGCTTTATACATTGTATAAGCTCAATACTATTTGTTGAGTGAATAAATGTTGTGGGACAGGGGAGGAGAAATAGTGGTATTGGTATTTGGAGACAAAGGCCTTGAGCGACGTATCCTTAAAATGACAAAGGGGTGTGGAGAGACCTCTGTGCTGAAGATTACAATGCTTAGACTCCTAGTGATATTCATGTTGATTCTCTCTTACTTTTGATCTCACATTTCCTGAGGAGCCGCAGTGGATTTAGGTGTCTTATTCTGCCAGCATCAGATAACCTAAGAGCCTGGCGATGTAGTATCTCCTTCCTTTCCTGGATCTAGTGTCCCACAATAAAGAAGCCAGGTTGGGAAGAATGGCAGCTAGAGGCCACCCTAGAGGATTTAAGCATGCACAAAATACCTGCATCTCAGGGTGTCAGCCATAATCCCACCTGGGCTGGGGTTAGATGGGACCAAGGATCAGCACAGAGTAAGAAAAACCCTGAAGCTTCACCCTTTCTGGTGCTAAGATGAAGACACAAAATACAAACAGAGAAAAGACAGGCCTGGCAAGAAACACTGGGGACTCACTTCCAACTGCCTCACACTCACACTGCTTCAGACTTGACCCCAAAAGGAAGAGCTCCCCAAACTTTCATGACCTTAGTCCCTCCAGATCTGGGCGGTTCCTCTTGCTCTGCAACAACCTCCCTTCACAACCTCGGGCTTCCCTGCCATGTACAACCAGAAATGAATAGTGTCCTTTTTGCTTCTCAGAGCTGAGCTCTGCCTGTGCATGGATGTGGAAGCCTAGATGGCTAAGGCCTAGGCTGCTCTTCCCCCATTGGACTCTGACAGCTGAGAACCTGGGGAAATAGATGCTGAGAAATAACCAAGACAGATCAGCTGAATGATTAGGAGCACCAGCTATGATGTGAGGCCTAGTGTGACATTCTCTAGTGGAGATGTTGGACAAACCAACTAACTTCGCTAAGCCTTTGCTCAATGGTAGAATAAACGTCCATTAGTGTTGTTGGGAGGATTAAATTTAAAGTACTTGACACAATGCACATAATAAGTGCTTGATAAATGTTAGCTCTTTTAGCCTATTATTAAATTATCATAATACTGAATTTCCAGAGAAAGCAGCCTCTGTAGTTTCCATCCCTCCTGCCTTTTCCCTTCCCTAGTCATTCTGACCTTCTTCTAGCTGAAAGAAGTCCCACTGTATCAAAAACGTGGGTGGGTTATATGCCCCAGAGAGGCAGATGCCAGCACCACAGCTATATGCATTTTCCAACAAGCACAAATTCCTCGTTCTTTTCTCCCTTCATATTTAGGCTGGGCTGGCAGCCAAGATGGGAGCCAGGCTGGTGGTGAGCCAGAGGCAGGGGAGCTGGGGGGGACTAGGGCACCATTTTCTGGCTGGGACACCAGGTCACTGACATTTGGTTGTCCACTGGGCAACTCTCTCTGCTATGTGTCCAGATGTGGAATGGAAGGTGGGTATAATCTACTGATGTGCTTACCTCCTCCTTGCTCTGTGTCCTAAATCGATATTCCCAAATACTGCTGTAGCACTCTCTTCTTTCTAGACACTGGGTATGTCCAAAATTTACTCTATACCAAGATTGCTTCCCTCTTTCCTTTGTGCTTCTCCTAAATGATTTGGGAAAGATTGATGTCTTTCCCCTGAGGAAAGGTAGGTAGGAGGAATTCTGCAGGTGTCTTGGAGATATGGAATGAAACTTACCCTTATGAAAACAAAAAGAAGGATCTTCAGGGAGTGGGGCAGGGTGGGGGGGGGGAGGGATTATGAGAAGGAGTGGTCAGGAGAATGAAGCTGAGGTTCTACGTAACATCTCCCCTCCCCCAGCACACAAAATTCACACATATAGTCCCTTCTCTCCATGGTTGCTGCTGAGAGTTCCAGTAGATATCCCAGGTTTCAAGTTAGGGTGGGGAGGGTCTCTGCCACAGTTCTCAGTAAGTAAGGAGTTAATGGCATGGCTGTGCAGTTTAGTAAAATCGTTGGACAGAGTCAGGTGTATCAGCCTTGCTATTAGCTATTTGACCTGAGACAAGTCACTTTATCTCTCTGGGTCTCTGAGTTTTTCCTTTGTAGAATGAGGCAGCTGGAATATATGAATTCTAAGGGTTTTTTTCCATTCTTACATTTCATGCTTTTATCAGTGAAATGAAACAGAGGGAAGAAGAGAAAAGGACAGAGTGACCCTGTGTCAGACATCCTGTCTCCATGCCACCTTGCCCCTCCCAGGGATTTTACCTCATCCTCATTCTCCACTTTGGGGTTGCTGGCTGTTCGTTTCAGGTTGCTGCTGAGACTTATACTGGCAGTGGCATCTGACTTAGAGCGCTGGTGAGTCCTTTTAGAGGGAGACAGCCCTGTGTCAGGGGCTGGACTCAAGGAGGGCAGCTCCCTCTTTCGGTGAGCTGGCTTCAGCTCATCTGAGAGGATCAGCTTCCGTAGCTTGGTCCCGCGGGAGTGTCGTTGAGTGGAAATGTGCATGTCTGAAGAGTAGGCCCCGAGCAACAGAGCACACTGGAGGGAAAAGTTAATGCTCTGGCGGCAACGGTGGACTATGTAGGGCTTGATGGCATCACCCACATCCTCATCCATGTGGATGTACATGTTAAGCAACTGCGGCAGATAGAAGTCCACATCCTCATTGCGAAAGTAGAAGAGCCGGTTGCCAATGTAGGCTTGCACTCCAGGCTCCTTGGAGTTATACAGGTATGAGATGGCCATGGAGATGTCAAACAGTTTTGACTCAAACAGCCTCAGCAGCCAAGACTGTTTGGCTGAGTTGTTCTGCCGCCGCCTTCTTGCTCCCTTGGCTGTGCCTGAGACCACAGTGGCTCCCATCTCATCTTCCTCCTCTCTTATCTGGGCAGGAGGATCGTCCAGGCAGCGGATCTCACTGTCCACACCATCCCCATTGACCAATTCCAGTGGAGTGCCTCTGCTAGAGATGGCCACACTTCCGTGCAAAAGCTTGACCTTCTCCAGCACCTCCTGGCAGGCCTTTTGGGCCACCTCAGGGTCAATCACTGATAGTTCCCCGACCCCCTCTGTGATGACGCTTAGTAAGGAGCCCCCATTATTTCCTGGTGGGCCAGGAGTGGGCTCAGAAGTTGGCTTCAGAGGGGCAGGCTCCACTACTGTGTCTCCCATGGCCACAGCCAGACTTCAAGCTTCCAAGCTGTAGGAGAGAGAAGAGAGAAAGGAAGAGAAAAGGAGACACAGATACATATGGGTTAGTGGTGCCATCCTCAGGTCTTCCCTTTGCCATGAAACCTTCCCAGGCACCTCCTCTCTGTCTTCCGGGATTCCTTCAAAAACAGATGCAAGCCCTGGCTGGCGTAGCTCAGTGGATTGAGTGCAGGCTGCGAACAAAAGTGTCACAGGTTCGATTCCCAGTCAGGGCACATGCCTGGGTTGCAGGCCACGGCCCCCAGCAACCGCACATTGATGTTTCTCTCTCTCTCTCTCTCTCCCTTTTGCCCTCCCTTCCCTCTCTAAAAATGAACGAATAAAATCTAAAAAACAAAACCAATCCCCCCAAAAACAAACAAAAAACAGAGGCAAAGTCATCCCCTGCCAAGAAGCTTTCCCTGACCACCTCTACTTCTGATCACTGCTTTCTTCTTCATTCCTTCTGCATCTAATTCCTCAGCTTAGGCTCTGTTCCTAACCTGTATTTGCAAAATGTCGTTTTACATGTGTTATGTTTATATAGATTTACAAATTCTTCAGCTACACTGACAAGCAATTCTAGTATTATTCCCTTGTCCCTAACTCTTCAAATGCTTTTCTATCTTTGTGTTCTTCCCATACCTCCCTTTAAATGCCTGCCAATAGCCTTTTTCTTTTCCTCTTTAAACTGTAGTTCTGTACTCATATAACACTCCATACAGGTCCTGAGCATCTTGCCTTTATTTAGTGGTAAAGTCTTAATGTATTTTTCTAGTTACAGGTATGTTTTAACCTTCCCTTTTAGACCCACAGTTCCCAAGGAATAAGGGCAACAAATACCAGGCCAAGTTTCACTTAGAAATAAACAGCTCTAAAATGACCATCATCAATGCTGAAGATGTGCCATTTGTCTGACTTCATGATGTGATTTCCTCTTTTTCCAGTGCTGTGGCAGCTAAAGTATAGTGGGAAGAGTCCTGAACTTGGAGTCAAATAGGCTGGGGTTCAAAATTCTGCCATTATGAGATATATAAACTTACGTAAGCCATGTCTGTTCTAAGTTTCAGTTTCCTTGATTGCAAAAATGGGAAAAACCTATCTACTTTCCATTGTTGCCATGCACAGAATAAATAGCTTCATGCATGTGAAAGTATCCAGCGTAGTCCCTCACACATGTAGTACTTAGTAAGTACAAGCTGAACCCTAATTACTGAAAAGATTAGTAAACAGAGTGTGTGCCTGTGTGTGTCCACACACACACAGTTTATTATAAGGGAAGTGAGTTATAGTTATCTTGTTGTTTGAAAATCTTCTAAAACATTTATGAAAGCCCTTCACTATCCAAACACTACTTTATCCATGCTCATACACACACTCTAAGAACAGGAGGGACTGTGAGAAGGTAAGAAGAAATCAGGCTGGAACTCCTGGGTGTAGAATATCTAAAGAACAGGGGGAACGGGAATCACTAACTAAGTGTCCCTCTCTGGAGGAAATTCAATGAGAGAACACTGCTAACAAAAGCCACTGCCTTCCTAGAACAATCCTCCAGAGCCCCACCGGATCCAGACCAGGAGAGTCAGTGCTGAACAGAAAGAAATTTCAAAGAAAGAACTGGGAGAGGCACATTGTTAATGTCAGATCAACCCAGCTCCAGAATCTGGCTGTGGTCAGCAATGGGCTCAGGGGCCTCCTCACAAAAATGCAGACAGAGTGAATCTAAGACATGCTTCAGAGTGTGGGCAAGAGGAAGGCAGTGGCTACTGTCGAGCTGGAATGCAGGTAATTTCCAACTAACAGTGACATCACCTTTGACCTTAGTGAACCTGGGTCTATATACTTTGGATAAGTGGAAGGAGGCCCAGATACAGATTCACTAGTCACTCTGGAAAGCCCCATTTTCCACTGCTACCTTCCCAGGGCCTCTTACTGCACCTCTGAAATGTTAAAAGTCAAAGTTACTTTGATCTGTCTGATATTACATAGTTTAGTTCCCTGTCTCCCAACTGTCAGCATTAAACTCTTGCAGGAAGGCAGATGGGGAACTCTTCTGTTTTCAGAGATCACCAAAAAAGCCTATTTCAATTTCTGTTTCTCTCAACTATGTTAAGCAACAAGTTCATTCCCGAATCTAATATCCCTGATTACAGTTTGAGTTTGGCGTTGGTAAAAAAATGTGGCAACTCTTTCACTATACTCTCTCCTCAAATTATGCAGTGCCCTTTGAGCAGTAGAACCAGCACGGCTGCCTGTGTGAATCTGTCTCTACTCGCAGCTATGGGTTGCACAGGAATAATAAGAAGAAAGCTTTAATCACTCCCTGCCACACCTTGGTAGTGTACTCTGCACCAGGGGTCATTCTAATTCAACTGGGACCACTACCCTTTAGGACTACTTAAATGCCCACTTGACAGCTTCAATGGGTTTTATGCAAACAACTCTTTTTTCTCTCTCAATCTCTCTATGCTTGGCACACCTTTCCCTTCTTCTCTACTCCAGAGATTTCCAAGTCACCAAATGCTCATAAAGTCCCCGTTTCAAAACTTCCAAGGAAAATGAAGTTCAGATATTCTCCAACATACAGTGTGTCTCAGATTTCACTAGAAAATGCAGCAGCTGTCTGCCCCAACTGATCACAGTGGGGATTATTTCTGGCACCAGGAAGGGAGGTGAGAATAACATCATTTCTTTCACCCTATGGCTCACCTAGGAATCCCACATCACAGTATTTAAGGGACTTCCCCACTGAACAGCTACTCCACTCGGCAGCCTTTATTACCCAGGGAACCAGATGATGTCAAGAGGTGCATGAAAATCAGAATTCTCTCCTATGCAGGCAGCTCTGCCACTAGAAGCTTCTAAACTGGAGCTGGGCCTCCCTCCTGTCCTCTCTGAGTCTCAGAAACTGCCTGTATCTGAAGCCAGATACGGGAGAAAGAAGGTATTGAAAGGAATTTAGGTTGTTTTGGCAATTTAGACAGTAAAAAATAAGAAATGGAGTCTCTAAAACCTAAATCCAGATATGGTCCTCAATATCAATTCCTTCAGTTTCAAATACAAAGAAAACACAGCTCTGATAAGTAACCATTCTCAAGAAAATGAAAGGACTAGAACATGAAAGGAAAAAAAAAGAAACAGGCCCTGCATTCAGTACCCTTCAACTTGTAAGTCAAAGAGTAAGAAAAAAGTGAAAGCCCTGGCTGGTGTGGTCCAGTGGACTGAGTGTGGGCCTGTGAACCAAAAGGTCACTGGTTTGATTCCCAGTCAGGGACCATGCCTGGGTTGAGGGCCAAGTCCCTGGAGGTGGATGTGTGACAGGCAACCACATATTGATGTTTCTTTCCCTTTCTTTCTCCCTCCCTTCCTCTCTAAAAAATAAATAAAATCTTTAAAAAAAAGTGAAAGAAGAGAATCCAAACCTTTTATATCAAACGATTCTTGTGGCTCTTAGTAACATTCAGACAACTGAGGCTCCATATTTCACACTAGGAGCTTAATTTGGCCTTCTAGTGAGACTGCAAGAGGATCAAAGAGGTCTCCCCTGTGCTAGTGCAGCAGCTGGCTTCTAGGAAAGAGGGGTGAAAATGCTGACAACTGACTGGGTTCCACAGCTATGTGTGGGCAATGTTGGGAATCCCCATTTGAGCATCAGGGGGTTGTTCAGAGCAGAGCAGCAACTGCAGAGGACAGAGGGGTTTACAGGCATGTGTTCTGTATGATTGAGCATTTAAGTGAATGTCTCCAGAGGACTCTGGGGGGAGGGCACGTTATCACTTAACCTGGCTTTCTGCTTCTCTTCACCTCAAAAGAGTCTAGGCAAACAACCCTCCACTGGCCTCCCTTCAAGGACTTACTGCACTGGTCTCTGCTAGGACGCGGTGGTAAAGAGCCCTGAATCAGTCCTCTGACCCAGGTCATCACCATTCCCTTCTTCAAATCTTTTTCCATGGACTAGTTTAGACCAATCCACATGTTCTTACATGTTCCTATATTTTCATAGAATGGCCTTTAAGAGATTGTCTGATTTAGTGCTCTGCCTCCAAGCACCTAGGCGAGATCAATTTTCCTTCTCCTTTTAAAAGATCCCTTTGAGATGGATCATATGGAAAAAGGAAAGCTGAGCCAATATCTTTATCATCTTACAAGGTGAGTAGTTAAGAAAGACTGTTAAAAATTAAAGGAAAATAAAAGGGAGGTTCAAACATGTTAGTTAAGGTTTCCTGTAGAAATGAAAATGATATAATCATATAAACAAGCTGTATAAATCCTCCAAAGCTAAATCTTCTTTGTAACAATTAATAAACCAAGAAATCAGAGACACAAGCATTTTATCTAAAGCTATGGTGATAACTTTCAGAAGTAAACACTGAGCTAATTAAGAAGTTAAATCTAAAGAAGTCAAAATAGGGATGAATGAAAAGGGGCTGTAGATTTTCATCATAAACTCATATGTACCATTGGTTTTGTTACCAACTACGCATATACCTTTAATAATGATTTTTTTAAAGTCACTCTTCAAGAGGGACTCCACATCACCCTAGGCTACCTGTTTTTGCTGTTAAGAAGTTCCTTTTCATGTTTTAAGGTCTAATTCTCCTTGCTTCAAGGAGGTCTCAGCTCATCTTTCCCCCTTGACCTCAATGGTAGAGATGGAAACTGAGTACTACTTTTTCCTTGTACAACAGAAACACAGGGCTGAGCAGTCAAGCAGGCTCAAGCCCTACTAGGAACCAGGTAAATGGTCACCCAAAGCCCATAAAGGGAGCTGGCATCAGGAGAGAGGGCATTCTCAAGCTAGGAGCAGGAGGGTAGGGAGGGCAGTGGTCTTGGGATAGTTAAATCAATATTGAATCAGGCTGAGAACTCTCTGTGCAGTGCCATGGAACTAGTATAAGCAGATTCCAGCCAGACAGCCCAAGCCAGCTCTGGGAGCCTGTGCGGAAAAAGACAGACAACAAAAAAAGCAACCTGTACACTCACCTCTCTCTGAACTGATCCTCCCTGCCGCAAGCCCCAAATGCACTTGTACTAGGTCCGCTCTTATCTCATGCCAATTTCTGAAAGTTTCCTCCCAAAGTTCTTTCCCTAATCAAAGAATCTCAATTTGCTGCTTTGGATAGTGTTCAGCAAACATATTCTCATGCAGCGTGGACCCAGCTCTGAGAAGGAAGCAGGGAAACTAGGGAAATATGATTTCTCTTTGGGAGAGCTTCCAAGGAGTAAAGCTGCTCCTAAAAAGGGGGATTACGAGTAGACTGCACTCTGGCTAACAAGGAAAGTCAGGGGAGAACTGCGAAGAAGTAGTAAGAGTACGTTCAAACAGGGCTAGTGTTAGAAAATGAATCGAACTTCACGTGCCCTCTCTGCTATCGAGGACTGAGAGAGACATGGCATGCAAGTGGGCAACTAGTTTCAAATCACTCCATTTCTCTTTTCCAGGTAGCTTCCTCAAAGGTTTTTGCCCACAAACACACTTTCCACCTATGGGATCTGGAGTTATGGATCAAGTACAAGAGGAACAGCATGACAACTTAATGCAGAGGGGGAGAAAAGCAAGGCAGATGGAAGCAGAAGCTTGTCTTTCAAACTGATTTACTCCCATGGTTGTAGACTAGGCCAAGGGGAAATTCTCTGGAGAGCTAAACCAGTACCAATAAATACTTTTTGTCTGAAAGACCCAGAATGTTTCATAAACAAATAAACCAAGTCCAATTTTCCCCCACCTCACATCCTGCTATTAGCCGTACTGCGCTGGTGCCTATAGAGTGGGCCATTTTCTCAAAAAGGCCCACTCTAGAGGTCAAGTGAGGAAGTTACACGTTGAACACAGAAGCACTAACTGAACAGACAAGCTCTTTCCATTGTCCTGTGCTCCTTTTCCCAGTTACCCCCCAACCCTACCCCAGTCCTAAGCCTCTATGGAATCAGCCAAAACTATTCCAGTAAGTCACAGGCAGCAAACTGATTCTTCTTGGATCTGGGCAGGGGTGGGAGGACATTCTACTCTGCGATCCCTTTAAGACAAGCTTGAAATTATATAACCCAAAGCAAAATTTCTCACAACCTCATTCAGTTTCCATGCAGGACTGTTCATCCCTCCTAGTGGCTGATCCTGAGTAGTCAACAAAGTGTAATCTGATAGGGACTTCTTCAAAATTTGCTCCATCGTTCAGAAACACCCTTATGTCCAGAAAAGCCTGAGTGAGACAGCTGAGGCTCCCACTCCTCCCAACACATTTTCTTCTTAGTTCAAGGTTTAGCTGATCCTGAAATAAGCAGTATGTGGAGATAAACAGTATGACAGAGAACACACAAAGAACACAGGGAAAACAGAACCAAGTGCCATAAGGATAAGCAAAATCCTTGACACTCAAGGGAGAAGGCGTCAAAGTTGGAAATCCTGAATGGGAAGGGGCACTGTCAGACCTCTCTTCCACAGGAATACACCTCCAAAGGTTGGAGGATTAAGGAGAGGCAAGTAAGCTAAACAAAGTTACAGGGACCATAAAACATTCCAGAGAAGGGTAAGGATTAAAGTTAAAGAACACAAATGATACTTTGGGAATGACGATGAGATCCCTTAAGGACAGGGGAACAGGCAATTCTTGGAAGCCGATAGCGGGGTGGGGGGCGGTGAGGTAATGGAATCAGAAGAAGCAGAGGAAGAGAGGGCCACAATCTTTTAGCTCAGGGAAATGGTAAGCCAGTGGTGGGGTTGCACAGAGACATCGGAGGAAAGGGGAATAATACGAAAAGGGAAAAAAGCGGAGGCCAAGGGAAAGGTTTGGGGCAGGAGGAAAGACGGACAAGGATGGACATTATAAGAGGCATCCTGATGTGGAAAGAGTTCATGACTTAAGAGACAAAATAATTCGGGACGGAGGCAGCAGGGATAAGAGTGAGGGAGGGGGGAACCCCCGGGGCAGAGGGAGGAGCTAAACAGAAGAGGAAGCCAAAAATCAGAGAAGTACCCCAGGCTTGGTTGGAAAGGGAGGCGAAGGAACCCGGGGTGCAGCTACCACCGGGAGGGCAGTTTTGTAGTCGAACCCAGGTGTGGGGGCGGGGGAAGGCTGTGCGGGACAGGGTGGGAGAAGGGCCTCCACAACACAGGGCAAAGGGGGGCTCATGGGGTAGGAGTCGCTTACCTTCGGGGGACCCCCGCGGAGGGGGTGCGGGCGGTCGGGGTCGGGCTGCCGACACCCCCGCCTCAGCAGCAGCGGCCGCTCCTGGGTTCCATTGGCCGCCTGCGCTTCCCTGACAGCGGCCGCGGCGGCTGCACCAGGCCCCGGCTGCGGGGCTGCCCTCGGCACCGCCTGAAGGGGCCTTCGCGCTGCTTCAAGTTCGACCGGGCCACACAACCTCCTCTTCCTCCCTCCGCACAACCAAGATCCACCCCCCCAAAAATATTCCCAGCACGGCCTGACTCTTTCAAGCCCCAGACTTTTTTCTTGGGATGTGCTTTCCTGCTTCTCCGACGCTCAGGACCCTACCGACCCCATAGTAATCCAATGAGTCCAGTGAGCTGCCTGGAACATGCCTGTTTAGAAATAGAAAAGGGGGCGGGGAACAGATGTTTGGAAGCAGGAGAAGGAGGAGAGGAGGAGAGGAAGAGCCTACCGGTGGAAGGAGGGGCTAATCTTTGGAAGGCGTACCTAAGAGGTCGAATTTGCCAGGCTTAAGGAGCCGAAAGGGAAGTAAATTTTGGTGGATAAGGTGGCAGGGGCTCCGGGCTTAGAGCAAAAAGCGGCAGGTGGGCGGGGGTACCTTGTTAGAGGAGGAGCGCACTTACTGCGTACTTCTATAAGTACATGCAAATTATATGTAAATACGTCCTTTTGATTTAGCAAGTTACAATGATTGCAATCAGTGGCTTTACCCCCTCGCCTATTACACATGACTCCCTTAGTAAATCAGGCTGTGGAATGGACGCGGGGGCTCTGTGGGGAGAAGAGAGAGAGAGGGTGGGCGGGGAAGATAGTCACCCTCAGTATTCTTTTCCTATTTATATTAAAGGACCAAGTCCAGATTAGTTCCTTTATTGTTTCGGGAATCCTGCGGTCCCAGGGCGTAAATTTTTCACCGACAGTGTTGCGGCTCGAGGCCGCGGTTCTGCCTCTGAAGTGGCCACTTGCCTGGGCAGCCTTTGGCCTCCAGCCTCCGGACGTCGATCCCTCTAGAGAGGGAATGGACAGGGCCAGTTTGGGAGAGGTGAGTGAAATGATAAAGGGTTGGGGTGGGTTTTGTTGTTGTTGTTGGGGGGTGGGGAGACAACCCTTCCTTCTAAATAAAACCATGTGAAACTTAACTAATAAACAAAAACACGCCCTGCAGGACCTCTGTTGTTGGTTTTGTTCATGTGCCAGCATTTTTATTGATTGGGAGCTGTCTCTATCAGAACCCCTGTCCCAAACCTCATAGGCCCTTACATATTTTACAGGGAGGCTAGTTATTTGAGCCCAGATCTTGGATGCCCCCTTCCCGGCCACTTACAGGCTGTTTGATTTGGGATTACTGATTTAACCTCCTTTTACTGAGGTTTCTATGTCTTCAAAGTGAATCCAGGAATATTAACGCTTTCCAGGGTGTTGTATTAAAAGAGTACAGATTACTACAATATATAGTACTATATTACTATTATTGGGACAATAATATAGAATAGATGAAAGAAAAGAGGGTCACTACTTCAGTGTTTAATTGGAAGACAGAATAAAGGTAGTAGCTTGAAAATATCTATGTGAAACATGCAATATGTACAAAAGTAGAACAAGGAGGGTAACTAGTGGCTGAAAGAACATAGAGGAGTATGGTTAATTAATAAGGAAAGCCTAGCCACCCAGTATATGGTGAATGAATGAATGGCTTAAAAATATTGTGAGCCAGGTCTCAGGAGAATTATTGGGTGTAAGCCAGCATAACAAAAAAGAGGAGGGGCTGAAAAAAAAAGCATGCTAAGAACAGAAATGGAAATTTGTTCAAATTAAGAGAGGACAGGCTGGTAAGCCATATATGTTAAAGCAGAAGTACAGCAACAAAAGATGAGGCTGAGAGTACCAAAGATAGTTTAAATTTGTCACCACTGGTCCAGTGGAGTGGGGAATCGTTAGCCTGTCTGTTAGGCCTAGCACCTCTTGGCTAGCTCCCAGTTAGCTGTCAGGCAGGTATCAAGATGTGGTGCCCTGCTTTTGCCTACAATTCTTTTTTAAATTGACTTTTAGAGAAAGAGAGGGAAAGAAAAAGAAACACTGATTTTGTTGTTCCACTTACTTATACATTGATTCATTCATTGATATGTGCCCTGAGCGCTGACCCGGGATCGAACCCGCAACCTTCAGTATCAGGCTCTAACCAGCTGAGCTACCCGGCCAGGGCATGCCTAGGGTTTAGAGTCACACATTCACCTCCTTCAGGGGTAGGATTCCCAAGGGCCCTAAGACCACATCTGTGAAATATTGTAAAAAGGGATGTGACAGCTCTGCTTTTTATAGTAGGAAGTTTTTAATTTTCTAATGACAAAAACACATTTCAGGAACATCTCTGTTCAAACTTTCAATAGCTATAAGCAGTTGTCTTTCATTAAGGGAGACACCCCACACACACACACACACACACACACACACACAAGTAGTTTGTTTCAAGTTGTCTGTGTTTATAGTTCTGAGGGTTCATATGTGGACTTTTCTTTATATTTTTTATGACTTTTTCTTTCTAATTTCTTCTGAAGTGGTTTTTTTTGTTTGTTCATTTGTTTAGGTTATCTGTTTCTATGAATCTTCAAACCCCTCTAGTCTGAGCTCCTTAAGGAAAGAAAGGATTCAGTTTTGTCTTCTAACTGTATCCTTAGTTTCTACCACAGGAAAAGTTTTGTTGGTATTGCACTAGGAAAGTACCAACAGGGTTAGGTAATGTCACTTATCTTATTTAAATTTTATCAAACTGGAGAAAGAAGTTGGCTTACTCATCAAAAGTGGGTAAAACTAGAGGACTCAGGTCATAATACAGCTTTAGTTATATTTTAAACACTCCTGTAGTTAAAGAAATTATGAAGGCTGATTTCCCACCTAAGCCGTTATATTTTGGGATTTTTATTTTTAGAGAAAATAAGCTAGGAATTATTTATTACTCAAGCCCTTACTGTGTAATAATACAAACATTACCTCATTTATTCCTCATTAAAACCCTATGAAAAAGATGTTATCCCATTTTATGGAAGCTGAGTTTCCAATGGTTGCCATTGGTTTTTCAAAATTGTTTCACTTCAGCCCAAATGCTCTTATATCATGACCACTGAAGAATACATAATCATGTCTTCACTGAGCTAAGTTTCATGAAACATTTACCCTTACTATATGTAATGCACCGATATTTTCTGTTCTTTTAAATACTTTACTTTTAGAGAGAGGGGAAGGGAGAAAGAGGAGAGAAACATCAATGTGTGAGAGATACATCGATTGGTTGCCTCTCTTGTGCACCCAACTGGGGACCTGGCCTACAATCCAGGCATGTGCCCTGACTGGGAATTGAACTGGTGACCTTTCAGTTCACAGGCCAGCACTCCATCCACTGAGCCACACCAGCTAGGGCCATATTTTCTATTTTATTTTACTTATTATTTTAAAATCCTCACCAAAGATTTATTTACTGATTTTAGAAAGGGGGGAGAGACACGCGCATTTGCACGCATTGAAGTGAGACAGAAACATCGAGCACAATGTGCAACCTAGGTACGTGCCCTGACAGGATCAGACCCACAACCTTTCAGTGCACAGGAGGATGCTCCAACCAACTTAGCCACCTGGCCAGGGCTATTTCATTGAACTTTTTAAAAACTTTTGCATCTTGCTAAATCAGTTTCATAAACCATTAATAGGATACAATTGAGTTTGAAGAAACTGGTGTAAATTTTCAAAATCTCATGGCAAGTGGTAAAGCTAAGGTTTGAACTAAGTTTACCCTTTTTCCAGCAAAAAATTTTCCTCACCAGCATTTAATAAATACTGCTTTACTGGTTATTTTATGCTTGGTTTTATCTCATAGGATACAGTGAGCAGGATGATCCTACACAAAAGAGTAGACCTCCTGAGGAACTCTAACATGAGACAAAACACTTAGATAAATATATAATGCCATTAATTCCCATTTGGTATGTGATTGTAGCATTTACTTTTTTAAAAAAAGATTTTATTTATTTATTTTTAGAGAAGGAAAGGGAAGGAGAAACATCAATATGTGGTTGCCTGTCACAGGCCCCCTACTGGGGACCTGGCCCACAACCCAGGCATGTGCCCTGACTGGGAATTGAACTGACAACCCTTTGGTTCACAGGCTGGCGCTCAGTCCACTGAGCCATACCAGCCAGGGCTTCATTTGCTGTGATTTCTAAAGCAACTTGTTATCCACAAAAATGGGCAATAAATTCATTTATCTGGGGCCATATACTAGACAGTTTGTCTTGGTTTAATAGCAAAATCTTATTTCAAATTTTACTAAATTATAACTTATCTGTAACTTCATTTGTGATAGGGCTAAAATGAAAGGTGATGACTCTTGGAGAGAAAGGTAATGGGAATGGGGAACAGGGTATTGGGAGAGAATAAGGAATGATAGGCAGAGAGGAAACAGTAGATAGTCCCCCAAATCTTAGTTTAGCCCTTCACCTAGTGAACTGAAGACTACCTTAACTACAGAATAACTTGTTTCCTGTTAGATTTTAAAGTAAATTTTTAAAACAGACTGCTTAAAAACCTTGTAACATTCATATAAATCTCAAAATCACCCAGTGGCCTTGTCTCCTAAAGTGAATGGATACATTTCAAATTCAGTCATGGTAAAGAGAATATTTCCTTGGATGCTCCTGTCTACCCTATTACCAGTGGTTTATTTTTCCATGTCTCCATGCCTACCATCTCTAATGTGTCCGCAGCCTTGTCTAGTCCCTCATCCCCTCCCACATGGATAATGGCAACAGATCCCTGGCTGGTTCCTTTTGACTCCAGTTCTCCCATCCTTGAATGCAAACTTTATACCGTTTATGCTTTCATCTAATCAACAGGTAACAATAATAGTTGTGTGTTGTTCTAGTTTATTTCTTACTGTTGTTCATACACATGCCCTCTGCCTGACAGGCCCCTTTCGGGGTTGTACTGCCATGCCTACACTCCCAAACCCCTGCTTTTCCCAGATTGCCCTCCTGTTTCTCCCCTAGCTAAACTCTACTTACCTGGCTTAACTCAAGACTACCTTGTCCATAAAGCCTTCCCAAATTACTCAGCCCAAGATGATCTCTTTGAATATACATTCAACTCTTATGCAGTACTTAAATATCATGATTTGACTCTTTTTTTAACCACGTGTTATGTCATTCTGTTCTTGCTTTGTGAGTTAGACTTGTCCAGCTAAATTCCTACTCACCTCTCCTGGGAAGTCATCCCTGATCTGGGTCTGAGCTGTGTGCTATTATTCTGGGCTTCCACAGCTCTCTGTGCTTACTGTCAAGTAACTCACACTGTGCTATGATCATTATTAACTTGAAGACAGAGCCTAAATCAACTAGCTTCTAACAAATGCAAATGCCTAGCACTTAAAAAACAAGAAAGAAAACAAAATCACAGTCATCAGCTCCTACTTCAGGCAGCATGGATGATAAAAGGTTTTCCTAGTAAAATACAACTAGATCCTGGACAAATTACAGCAGGCATATTTAGCACATTGCTGAGCCTGCTAGAAAGGGAAATCAGAAAAAGAAGAAAAAAATTACATTAAACTGAAACCTAAATGAAGGATGAACAACATGTAGTAGGAAAAGCAGGTTTGCCCTAAGACAAACACCAATACCTGTATTGTGAACAGAAGCTAACCCTTGGGCCTAGCCAAGGAAGGGGAAAAACCTGGCACTCCTGAATTAATTGGGGACTCTTGAAGGAGCAAACAGTCCCAGGTCAGAAAGACCCTTTGGCTCTTGGCAGAAGCAAATACAAGTCTTCTCTGGAGGTATGTACACACAGTTTAGGCCGTTTGGATTCCTATAGATTAAGTTTAACAAAATATGAGCTCAAAACCCAAGAAGATAAAATATACAAGGAAACAAGCTACCACAGGCAAAACAGAACAGATTTTAGACAACCAAGATAAGTTACAGAATATAAAATAACAATCAACAATCCCAACAAATTTCAAAGAACTGGTATCACAGAGACCACAT